GGGGGCGGCGAGGAGGGGCCTGGCCCCTCCTAACGATCGATGGAACGTTACATGTGTACTCATAAATTAGCGATGCGATTGCATTACAGAAGTACCTGGCCCCCCTATCACTTAACTTGAACTCTACGAAAGCTAAAAAGGCCCATGAGAAAGCCCGTCATTAGCGCTTGCGTGGGTTTTCAAGTCCATAACAAGGCCAGATTGGGCAATCGGTGTCCGCTAAAAAGTCTCCTGGGCGCTGGAATTATCTCCCGTCATTAGCGCTTGCGTGGGTTAGCTGCTGCTGTCTTATCCCTCAAAAAAAAACTATTGCCGTCGTGCGCCCTTGCCGCCTGCTCGCATCTGCTCTTCCTGCTCAAGATCCGATTCCGACGACGATGCAGGCTGCTTCAATCCTCAACTCTGTAGGCTGCCAATGAATTAGCCAAGGTCACATCAAATTGTCTACTAATCCCTCTATTCTCACCTTGTATCATATCGAACTAGATTTTATTTATTTTGATTGCGTGATTTGTGATGCGTCGCCGCGCTAGGCCCAGGCAGTCGTGATCATTCGAAAGCTCGAAGCAGTAGATATATGCCTGGTCGAGCATTGGTACAGATGGTTGTTGTGCGCCTACCAACGATGACCAACCGATCTACTTTGACATACGGCAGAGGACACAAACAGTGGCTGGATTTGATTCTCTAGGTTTGTATTCTAGCAACACTGATCTTTTTTTTCCTAATATAACTACAGAACTTTGTATAGGGTGATTTTTTGGAATGGTCTATCAGTGATGAATTGTCATTCAAACATGTATAGGTACAAGCTAAAAGCCACTAAGCCAACCATTTTATTATACAATGATTGTAATTGTTCGTACAACTTAAATTTCATATGATAATGTTTGGTAGCAAGGCATTTAATTTCATATCATATTCCAGAGTTGTTTGATTATCAATTTTATCTACTTGGCATGTATGTGAAATTATTGACGAATATTAGCTATAGCTAGACATGGTCCAGCTGCTAGAAAAAAGAGTGTATGTGTGTGTGTCTACTGTCTTGGCCAGGCTTAGATATGAAATTATGCATAAGTTTGTGTGGCACAAACTTTTCTTTTGGCTTCATTGTCATCTCGGTCCCCCTATGTCTAAATCCTGGCTCTGCCCCTGCGTGTATCCCCACTCTTTCTCCAATGAGGCAACCATGAGCCCCACCAGCCAGCCCGCTATGAAGAGACGGAGCAGGGCATGCCGCTTCCACCGGCGTTGCATAGCAGGGGCTGCATCGCAGGATTCGCTGGCATCACCGTGCGCTTCATTGCACCGTCCGCCGGCGCCGTTGTGCTCTTCATCGCAGCGTCCGTCGTCGTGTCACGCGCTGTGTAGGAGCCACCTCCGTCACCGTCGTGAGCTGCATAGTAGCCACCACTGCCACCATCGCAGCAAGCCACCACCAACCACTGACGCAGCGAGGGACGAACCATGGATACTTCTCATCCCGGGCACCCACCGTCGCCGTCACGTGCTGCATCGAAGCAACCGCTACCGTGCGCTGCATAGCAACAACGACTGTCGCCGTCGCCGCCACGCATTGCACTGCCGTCACTGCATGCTGCATAACATCAACCACCGCCATCATGCGTTGCATAGCATCAACCACCACCGTCATCGCGCGTTGCAATGGAGCACCGTCGCGTCGGTGCCGGTGTTGCAATGAAGCATCGCAGGCTTCCATCAGTGCTGCGATGAAAACTGCGACAGGCCGTCGATGCTGCGATGGAGCGCTGCCGTACCGGTGATGCCGCTACAAGGAAGCACGCAGGCTTCCGTCAATACTATGATGGAGCTGCGATGGAGCACCGCCACGCTGATGTTGGCGCTGGAATGGAGGAATCGTTGCACTACTATTGCTGCAAGTCGGATGCGACGCGCCGTCCCAGCACTCGTCGCGCCGCATGGCAGGCTGATGCAAGAGGAGACGAGGGTGTGGTTAGTACTACAAATGAAGAGCTCCGCCGATGAAGGGAAGGGACCGATGAAGCATCGCAGGCTTCCATCTAGGGTTTCCCCCTGTGGCCGCCGGCCCCCCTAGGGGAACCCTAGGGTGCCGCTCCCTCCACCCTTTCCCCTATATGTAGAGGACGGGAGAGAGGGCAGCCGTAGCCCATCTATGCCACGGCGCTGCCCTTCCTCTCCATAGTGCTTAGCGAAGCTCTGTTGAGATTCCACCACCACCCCCGGCACCACGCCGTCATGCTGCTGGAGGACTCGAGCTACTACTTCACCATCGCTCGCTGGATCAAGGAGGTGAAGGCGTCATCAAGTCGTACGTGTGTTGAACACGGAGGTGCCGT